CATAGGTCATAGGGTGCCTACATGGGCATGGGTAAATGTTACAGTCTGATGTTTTCAAGCCCAGTATAACTAGGGTAACATTTATAACCATGTCATTGTGCAGATAGAATGAAAATCTCTTGGGAGGGGGCTATTTCAAGAACTCAGGCATAATGTGGGTGGCTAGATTTATAGAGCCTTTTCTTTTCAACCAGAAAATCCTACAATTTTATGATTCTGACCCTTTCCCTACCTTCTGCACACTATCTGTGATAAGCAGCTGGTTGACATGGCTCTCAATAACCCCGCCTTCTGGTATTCACTCCCTTGTATAACACATTCCTCTTAAGTGTGGGTTGGACCTGGTGACTTGCTTCTAAGGAATAAAATACAGCCATATGCCACTTAGCAACAGAAGTGCATCATTAGGTGATTTTTTTCCATTGTGTGAATATTATGGAGTGTCTTTACACAAACCTAGACAGTATAGTCTACTACACACCTAGGCTATGTGGTATAGACTATTGCTCCTAAGCTACAAGCATGTACAGCATGTTACTGTAAAGACAACACAAGAGGAGATGATGTAATCAAGAAATGAGGTAAACATGAGATGTATGAGGCTGTTGCTGGCATACTATTTTATAGTAATCTTTTTTTTTTAATTCTCACCCAAAGACATGCTTTTATAGATTCCAAAGAGAAAGAGGGAGGGAGGGAGGGAGGGAGGGAGAGAGAGAGAGAGAGAGAGAGAGAGAGAGAGAGAGAGAGAGAGAGAGAGAGAGAGAGAGAAACATCAATGTGAAAGAAAAACATGGATTGCTTCTTGCACATGCCTGATTGGGGATCGCACTGCAACCTGGGCACCTGTCCTAATTGGGAATCGAACCCAAGACCCCTTGATGCACAGGAAGACATTCCAACCAAGTGAGCCACACCTGCCAGGGCAAACTTTTTTTTTTTTTTTTTTTAACAAGTAGAAAGAGTACACTCTAAAATCATGATAAAGCCTTGGCTGGTGACTGCAGTTGCTGGCACAAGACTGACTGGCTGGCTGTGCAGAAGGCTGCTAGTGTAAGCAGACTCAGGGGCAGAGTGTGCAGCTGTGACCCCTACAAGCTCCCCAGCACCTCCTCACTCTCCCATTCTGGGTGAGCTCTGACTCAAATACAGTTTGTTCTTATTGTGGGTCCTATCATGGGGCATTCATTATTAAAGATACTTCTGGGGTTACTTTTTTTATTATTATTGATTTCAGAGAGGAAGGGAGAGGAAGAGAGAGAGAGAAACATCAATGATGAGAGGGAACCATTGATTGGCTGCCTCCTGCACATTGGACCAAGCTTGCAACCCAGGCATGTGCCCTTGACCAGAATCAAACCTGGGACCCTTGGGTCCACAGGCCGACGTTCTATCCACTGAGCAAAACCAGTTAGGGCTGGGGTTACTTTCTTGTTTCTTTTTCAAGAACATTTGAATTTATGGTAAATAAATTTCATTTTTCTTTCAAGGGCATTGAGGCAAAGACCAGGTAAGTGGCCCACCCATGGCCAGACTCTGGACTCCTCCCTCCATATGCCAGGACATCCCTAACCTTGAAGTTCCTTCACTGGGAAATGAACTTTAGGCCTCCCTTCTAATGGTGATGATGCTACTAGCACACCCTGAATCCCTTGACTTGGACATTTCATAGCTGCTGAAATTCTTTAGAGTTGTATGAAAGTGAGACTGTCAGCTTTAAACTATTTTCTGCCTTTGTTTTTCTTTCTATTTTCCCTATTTTCTGTCCCTTTCTTCCTCTCTTCTTACCAACTTCTTATATCACCTGCTATAGGTAAGGGCATTAAAAGAGCTTTTTTAAAAAAGATTGATAGTCCTTAATTAAAAATTTAAAGAAAAAATTTCAGAATTCTTTCTTTCTCAGCTCCAGGCATTCTAACAAACTTTGATGGACCCCATTTTGAGGTTACAGTCTGTAGCCAGGGCCTGCCCAATAGGTTCTCTGGTATATAGTGGAAGTTGTTGTGGAGTAACAAGCTTCCTGAGGCTGCATGAGTAAATGGAAGGTCATGTCAATAGTCATGAAATTCCAAATGTTTCTGGGTCTCACCCTCTCCTTGCTATTACAGGATCTTCCACCCTTGAAGGGAATCTTCTACTGGTGTTCCTGAGAACTTGCAGGTGTGCCACCCCAGATCATGGGTCATATTCTTGCCCCTGCTCTGGCTTCTTTGGTTGACATCCATAGCCCCTTAGCAGGCCTTACCCCTGCTGGGCCAGCAGCATCCTTATAGATCGGCGGTTCTCAACCTGTGGGTCGCGACCCTTTTGGGGGTCAAACGACCCTTTCACAGGGGTCGCCTAAGACCATCGGAAAACATATATAATTACATATTGTTTTTGTGATTAATCACTATGCTTTAATTATGTTCAATTTGTAACAATGAAAATACATCCTGCATCTCAGATATTTACATTACGATTCATAACAGTAGCAAAATTACAGTTATGAAGTAGCAACGAAAATAATTTTATGGTTGGGGGTCACCACAACATGAGGAACTGTATTAAAGGGTCGCGGCATTAGGAAGGTTGGGAACCACTGTTATAGGTACTGGTGTCCTTGCTGAAGGCACTGTGCTCTGAAGTTTCTGGAGTTAAAAAATGCTTCGTGTCAGTATTAGTAAAGGTCCTATGGGCAAGCATTACAATCAACTCTGGCTAATTTAAAAAGAAGAAAAAAGTGTTAAAAGGATATTGGATAGGATAGCCCTAGCTGGTTTGGCTCAATGGATAGATCATCGGCCTGTGGACTGAAGGGTCACGGGTTGATTTCGGCCAAGGGCACGTGCCTGGGTTGCAGGCTCGATCCCCAGTAGGGGGCATGCAGGAGGCAGCCAATCAATGATTCTCTCTCATCATTGATGTTTCTCTCCCTCTCTAAAATCAATGAAATATATATATTTTTAAAAAAGGATATTGGATAGCCCTGGCCTAGTAGCTCAGTTGGTTAGACTGTTAGAGCATTGTCCTGACACACCAAATATGCCATGGTTGTGGGTTTGATCCTTGGTCAGGGCACATATAAGAATCAACTAATGAATGCATAAATAAGTGGAACAACAAATCTCTCTCTCTCTCTCAAAATCAATTTAATATATTTTTTAAAAAGTTATTGGATACTTTGTAAAATTCCTGGATGGTCAGGGAAAAGATGGGAAGCTCTGTAGACATCAATCAAGGCCCAGATCCCATCTGGAAGCTGCTCTGGTTGACACCTCTCCCTAATCCCCTGGTTGGACACCCGGCCTTCCCCAACAGCCACCAGAAGCCTGTCACTGTCACCTTCAGAAACTAGACATAGATCCTGCCCTCCCTAACACAAGGCCTGCGGGTCTCCCTACATTCTCCCTCCAGCAGTGCTGCTCCCAGTGTTTGTGTCCGGTGTTTTCAGCTCTTTCAGTGGGAGGTGGGCTCTGCTCCTCAGGTGGAGATTGATCAAATGTAAGAGAGAACCAGATGTCCACTGCATGCCACCCATACTCTGAGTCCCCCACCCCCCTCTAAACCACATCAACACGCATGGTGTGGGCCCCAGAGCTCACAGTACTTGTGACAACTGCTCCTTCAGCCTCCAGCTGTGGTCCCTCCTTCCCCAGGGTCGAATCTGATTCTGGGTGAGCTAGCTTTTCATGCTCCTCCTCACCTCCTTCAAAACACCGACTGAAATCTGTTCCTGGTGGGGCCATCTCATCTGTCCAGGGTAACAGTTCTCCCACCATATCAGAAGTTAAGGAAATCATGAAAACTCTCTCCCAAATACATGGCCACCTCCTGAACAGGGAAGTGATTACAGGGGTTCTGGTAGGGATAACAGGGTATCCTGGCAGGCAGGAGCTGGAACTTAAACATTCAATGTCTGCGCCAAAATGGCTCCCTTTATCTTAAGTACCCATCAGCATCTACTGACCTAAATGCGGGGCTATGGGGGAAAACCAATTTCAACCCTGCCCACCATTTAGAACTATATGAATATGTAGGAAGGACTTGTCAGGACCCAGTGGAAGCAGACTGTGGAATCTACCATATTCCTAATGGCACCTGCTGTGCTAGCTAGATATCCAACCAGAGCCAGGACGAGGAGAGAGAAGTAGGAGTACAGAGGGAAAGGCACCGATTCTGATGTCAGATCCCATCTGGAAGTGTCTTGGCTTCAGAAGAGAGACAGTAGAGAAAATGATTTTACTACACAATTCATTTTGGGGCACAGACAGCAGCCTCCACAACTGAGCATAATGCTGAGGGAGAGAGTTGTTAGCTTATTTGTTTGATTGTTTTCATAGACATTCATGGCTGGGGGAACTGGCAGGACCTTTGCCCTTCAGGAGTGAGGTAACAGCAGGATATGGGGAGAGGTCAGTTCAGAGGTGGCTCCTCTGTGGAAATGTTGGCTTGCCTGCCAGAGTTTGCACTTGGTAGCAGTAATTATGCTGAGGCAAATGGCAGTAGGGGATTGCAAATAGTCAGTGTGGGATCTACTCACTGGCATCTCAGAGAAGCTGTGGGGACAAACAGCTGCAGCGTCTTGGCTCAGACAGCAGGGACACTAGCGATGGTAGAAGATTTATAGACAGTGACTGTGATTCAGGGAAATAAAGGTCAGAGACGGTGTACTTCAGCTCAGAGAGACATTTCTAAGGCCCTGTGGGGGCTGTGACTGCACAATCTTGGTTAAGTGAGCAATGAAAAGATTGATGATGATAATGGTGATAATAATAGCTAGTATTTATGGAGCATGCCAGGTACTATCTAAGTGCTTTCCATGTGTTTATTCACTTAGTTATCACTGTAACCCTATTAGGTAGATATTATTATTAACCACCTTTTACAGATGAGAAACTTAGGTTTGGATAAGTTGTTATGTGGCAGATTGTTTTTTTTTTTTAATATATATTTTATTGATTTTTTTACAGAGAGAAAGGGAGAGGGATAAAGAGTCAGAAACATCGATGAGAGAGAAACATCAATCAGCTGCCTCTTGCACACCCCCTACTGGGGATGTGCCCGCAACCAAGGTACATGCCCTTGACCGGAATCGAACCCGGGACCCTTCAGTCCGTAGGCCGACGCTCTATCCACTGAGCCAAACCGGTCAGGGCAGTGGCAGATTGTTTTTTCCAGAGTTGGCTGCCATATCACCTAACTCACATGGTATTCTGCAACGTAACCTTGATCCTTCTACCACTGAGAGATGGCTCTATTCCTCTCCACTTGAATCTGTGCAGGCTTCTGGCTCTTTTGTAACCTATAGAATGCAGCAGAAATAAGGCAGTACGACTTTCAGGGTAGGCCAGAAAAGGAAATGCACTCTTCACCTGTTTACTGGGATACTTATCCTGGAGCCCTGAGTTGCCATGGAAGAAGTCTGACTGCCCTGAGGCAGCCATGCTGTGAGGAAGCTCAAACTAACCCACATGGAGTGACCACACAGGGAGGTTCTGAAACTACATGAAGAGGGAGAAAGAGATGCCCAGCCAGCCCAGCTGCTCCCATTCCCATGTTCTTGTTCCAACCGCTGTCTGATTTCAGCCACATGAGAGACACTGAACCAACCAAGCTCTTCCAAAACTCCCAACCTACAGAAACCATGAGAAATAATAAAGTGACGTTTGCTGTTTTAAGCCACCAAGTTTTAGAATAATTTGTAATGCAGCAACAGGTAAGTAACAGGTAACTTGCCCATAGCTTGTCCATGGAAGAGCTGAGATTTGAACCATCAGTCTGGTGAACCAAAAGACAAATACATGCACACATGAAGACACTTTTTTTTTTGAGATCTCCAGATATACCTGGGGAGGGGAACTAAATTCTTGCATAATCATCTGGTGTTTAAAATTCACCAAGATTCAGTTATAACTTTAATGTGATCTTGCTTGTACCTATAAGTTGGTGAGGTCTACATTTAAAATTAGATGATAAATGTTCTTCTAATGTGTTTCATGGAGTTATTAGAATATAGATCCAAAATTAAATTTTAAATAGCATTTACCCAATATGATCATTTTAGTTTTCAAATAGCACTTTATTTTAATTAATTGCTTCTGGAAGAATTTGTTTTCACGAAATGCTGGTCTTTTCTTTTACCCAATCTTAAACAAAGATTGAGATAATAATTGTTAGCACTTATTGAACACTTACTCTGTGCCAGACACCATGTATTTAATCCTCCCCAAACCCTCTGAGGCAGGTACTATTGCCATCCCCATTTTATAGATAAAGACACGGAAGCAGAGGGAGGTTAAGTATCTTTGCAGGCAAATGCAGCTAGTAAAGAGGTAGAGCTGCTTTCCAACCCATGTTCTAACCCAACGCAATATTCCTCTTTGCCCTTAGTCCAGACCAGTTCCTCGATACCTTTGTGTAATATGTTTTTGTAAAATGTATCTCTTATATAAAAGATTAGGCTTAGCTTGTGCTGTGTACAACTCATGGCCAAAATGTTGCTAGATGATTCCTAACACACAGAAGCCTCTTCAACAAGATATTATCTATGCCAGCAAGGCATAGAAAAGGTTACTGCTAAATTATGAAGGAAGGCAAAGCCTTTTGTTAATTATTTTTGAATAATTTATTCTTGGGTTTCCTGTGACTTGTTGAGGAGTTCATAGAGTCTTGGGAAGTCTCTAGGAAGTTTTAAAATAAAGAAAATGACACATTCATAGGAGTTATATTGGAAGACAACTGTTTTTAACACATAATCCCACTAGGAATTCAGCATTTTGGCAGGGGTTTATTTATTATATGTTTTTACTTTAAACAGAAAGCATGCAATTGATTAGCTCAAAAGTGTTCTTGTCTTCACATAGTAAAGAAAATGCATGCAAGAAAAGCAAGAGTGATGCCGAAACCGGTTTGGCTCAGTGGATAGAGCGTCGGCCTGCGGACTGAAAGGTCCCAGTTTCGGTTCCGGTCGAGGGCATGTACCTGGGTTGCGGGCATATCCCCAGTGGGAGATGTGCAGGAGGCAGCTGATCGATGTTTCTCTCTCATCGATGTTTCTAACTCTCTATCTCTCTCCCTTCCTCTCTGTAAAAAATCAATAAAATATATTAAAAAAAAAAAAAAAAAAAAAAAGAAAAGAAAAGAAAAGCAAGAGTGGTCCTGGCCTGGTATCTCAGTTGGTTAGAGCATCATCCCGATACACCAAGGTTGTGAATTTGATCCCCAGTCAGGGCACATACAAGAGTCAACTGATGGGTGGAGCAGTGGGTCAGTGTTTTTTTTGTTTGTTTGTTTGTTTTTGGTCGGTGTTTTTTTCTCTCTCTTATCAATACATTAAAAAAAAAATTAAGAAAGGAAAGTGTGGTGTGTAGAGAAAGCCAGGCATAGCTGGTATTTGGCTTCACTGCTTGCTGGAGTGTAAACTGTGAGCAAATTAACTCACCTCTTTATAGGTGACATATGAGCCTCTGCAGAGAATCTCAAAAATTATTAGGGAGGGAACCCCATAAAGTCAGGACTTGCTGCAGTCACATCAACTGAGTATTTAATGTGATAGAATACAGGAGATACAGAGACATTTAGGTTACCCAAGCAGGATGAAAAATAGTCTGGAAATAGCCATGAAGAGCAGGGAGATGCCCTGGCCTGTCTCTTGTTGGGATATGGAGAAAACATTGGTTAAGGCACAACTGGCTTCCAGAGAGAGACTAGGTTTGGTGAGTAAGAAAACTAGAGAGCACCCTAGTCAGTTTGGCTCAGTGGATAGAGCGTCGGCCTGTGAACTGAAGGGTCCTGGGTTTAATTCCGATTGAGGGCATATGCCTCGGTTGCAAGGTCCTCCCCGGCCTGGGCCACATACAGGAGGCAACCAATTAATGTGTTTCTCTCACATCGATATTTCCCTCTAAAAATCAATGGAAAAATATCCTGATAGCTAACATTTATATAGTAAAAATAATAATAAAAATAAATAAATAATAATAATAAATCCTCGGGTAAGGATTAAAGCAAAAACAAAAACTAGAAGGAAAGAAGGGTGTTTTAGTTACTCTTGCTGCATGATGTATAACCCCAAAATTTTAGAGGCTTAAAACAACAATCTATTTTTCCTCCCATGATTCTGGGAGTTGACTGGATTCAGCTAGGTGGTTTTTACCCAGGTCTCTTGTGCTGTTGCCAAGTCCGGGGCTGGAGTTACCTCAAAGGCTTCTTCAGTCCTACGACTGGCAACTGTTGTTGGCTGTCAGCTAAGACCTGGGGCTGTTGGCTGGAAGAGCTATATGCAGCCTCTCTGTGTGGTATGGGCTTCCTAGCAGCATGGCAGCTGGTTTCAAAGAGCAAGCATCCCAAGAAGACACAGAGAAGTGATATTTATCTTTTATGATACAGTCTTGGAAAGTACAGAGCATCATTTTTTGCCACAGTCACAGACCCTCGTGGATTCAAGGGGAAGGAACATCGACCTGACCTCTACATAGGAGCAGAGGCCAACTTCACAATGCAGAAGAGCATGTAGGATGGGAGATCTTGTTGCAGCCATCTTGGAAAATGCAGTCTTCCATAGAGGGTAAGTACAAAGAGCAGAAGATTAGAGTTTAAGATTTCAGAAATATGGCCCTTTACAGAGGATCACAAGGGCCATTCCTGTGGGCAGCTTACGTGGAATGGAAGCAAAGGTCATCAGAGTTGAGGAAGATATGGGATGATGAATCAGGGGAATTGCATGGCCATCGTATGGCACTGACTCCTCAGGAAAGCAGAAGACTTGAGAGAGTTGTAGTGAAGGTAGAGACGGCAACCGCTGTTGTAAAACCTTTCTGAGTTTTTTGCCTTTTGTTCTGGGATGGTGAAAAAACTAATCTCTGTGAGGACCACTTATCTTTTATTTGGGAAAAGATTTTGTTGTGGGCCTATTGTTTGTGTAAAGTATTAATAGTTAACTTTTTTTTTTTAGTGTTCATTCATTAATTCACTTAAACTGTACTTACTCTGTGGCCAAGTTCTATTCTAGATGATGATACAGTAGTTAACAAAGGAGACAAAGATCTCTGCCCTTGTGGTGCTTAACTTCTGTGGGAAGGACAAACATAAAAGAGATTTTTTTAAAACTACTATAATACATATTATGGGTTTTATTTTTTTAAATTTGGATTCTCATGGGTTGTTTTTTCTAATATATCCTCAGGAAATGCATTTTATTTTTATTTTTTTCAAATGGGAACTTTTTTATTTTAAGAAAAATGATTTTAAATATAATAATGTTACATGCAATAAACATTAATATCTCAAGAAAAACAATTTTAAATACAATGTTACATGCAGTAAACACCAATTATTCCAGAAAAACGATCTTAAATATAATATTACATGCACTAGACATTAATATTTTAAGAAAAAAAGGATTTTAAGTATAATAATATTACCAAAACTGTACTAACATAGTATGATATCACAAAAGTTGTAGGAAATATTAAAAATCTGCAAATAATAGGATTACTTCTATTATATTCTAAAATATTATTTTTTCCCTCTGGCTCTATTTTTGTTCATCAGTTTATGTTGTTCATTATATTCCACAAATGAGTGAGATCATGTGATATTTATCTTTCTCCGACTGGCTGATTTCGCTTAGCACAGTGGTTCTCAACCTTCCTAATGCCGCAACCCTTTAATACAGTTTTTCATGTTGTGGTGACCCCCAACCATAAAATTATTTTCGTTGCTACTTCATAACTGTAATTTTGCTAGGGTTATGAATCGTAATGTAAATATCTGATATGCAGGATGTATTTAGGCGACCCCTGTGAAAGGGTCATTCGACCCCCAAAGGGGTTGCAACCCACAGATTGAGAACCACCTTAGCATGATGCTCTCCAGGTCCATCCATGCTGTTGCAAATGGTAAGAGTTCCTTCTATTTTATAGCAGCATAGTATTCCATTGTATAGATGTACCACAGTCTTTTAACCCACTCATCTGCTGCTGGGCACTTAGGCTGTTTCCAGATCTTAGCTATTGTAAATTGTGCTGCTATGAACAGAGGGGTGCATATATCCTTTCTGATTGGCGTTTCTTATTTCTTTGGATGTATTCCTAAAAGTGGGATCACTGGGTCAAATGGGAGTTCCATTTTTAGTTTTTTGAGGAAACTCCATATTGTTTTCCACAGTGGCCGCACCATTCTGCATTCCCACCAGCAGTGCACGAGGGTTCCTTTTTCTCCACATCCTCGCTAGCACTTGTCGTTTGTTGATTTGTTGATGATAGCCATTCTGACAGGTGTGAGATGGTACCTCATTGTCATTTTGATTTACATCTCTCAGATGATTAGTGACTTTGAGCATGTTTTCATGTATCTCTTGGCCTTCTTTATGTCCTCTTTTGAAAAGTGTCTATTTAGGTACTATGCCCATTTTTTGATTGGATTATCTTCCTTTTGTTAAATTGTATGAGTTCCCTGTAAATGTTGGAGATTAAACCCTTATCGGAGATAACATTGGCAAATATGTTCTCCCATGCAGTGGACTTTCTTGTTGTTCTGTTGATGGTTTCTTTTGCTGTGCTTCTAGAAGCTTTTTATTTTGATGTAGTCCCATTTTTTTATTTTCTCTTTAGTTTCCATTGCCCTAGGAGCTGTATCGGTAAAGATATTGCTATGACATGTGTCTGATACTTTGCTGCCTATGCATTTTTCTAAGATTTTTATGGTTTCCCATCTTATGTTTAAGTCCTTTATCCATTTTGAGTTTATTTTTGTGTATGGTGTAAGTTGGTGATCTAGTTTCATTTTTTTGCATGTATCTGTCCAGTTTTCCCAACATCATTTATTGAAGTGACTGCCTTATCTCTATCATATGTTCTTGCCTCCTTTGTCAAATATTAATTCAGCATAATGGCTTGGGTCAATTTCTGGGTTCTCTGTTTGGTTCCATTGGTCTATATGTCTATTCTTGTTCCAATACCAGGCAGTTTTGAGAACAGTGGCTTTATAATATAGCCTGATATTTGGTATCGAGATCCTTCCAACTTTGTTCTTCTTTATCAGGATTGCTGCAGCTATTCTGGGTCTTTTTTAAAAATTAAATCTTTATTGTTCAGATTATTATAGTTGTTCCTCTTCTTTCCCCCATAGCTCCCCTCCACCCGGTTCCCCTCCCCCCGACCCCCACCCGCAGCCCTTATCCACCTCCCGTCCTCATCCATAGGTGTACGATTTTTGTCCAGTGTCTTCCCGCACCCTCCACACCCCTTTTCCCCCCTGAAAATTGAGTGTCCACTCCCTTTCTATGCCCCTGATACTATTATATTCGCCAGTTTATTCTGTTCATCAGATTTTTTATTCACTTGATTTTTAGATTCACGTGTTGATAGATGTGTATTTGTTGTTCATAATTTGTATCTTTACCTTTTTCTTCTTCTTCCTCTTCTTAAAGGATACCTTTCAGCATTTCATATAATACTGGTTTGGTGGTGATGAACTCCTTTAGCTTTTTCTTATCTGTGAAGCTCTTTATCTGACCTTCAATTCTGAATGATAGCTTTGCTGGGTAAAGTAATCTTGGTTGTAGGTTCTTGGTATTCATCACTTTGAATATTTCTTGCCACTCCCTTCTGGTCTGCATAGTTTCTGTTGAGAAATCAGCTGACAATCTTATGGGTACTCCCTTGTAGGTAACTAACTGTTTTTCTCTTGCTGCTTTTAAGATTCTCTCTTTGTCTTTTGCTCTTGGCATTTTAATTATGATGTGTCAGGTGTGGTCCTCTTTGGATTCCTTTTGTTTGGGGTTCTCTTCGCTTCCTGGACTTAAAAGTCTATTTCTTTCACCAGGTAGGGGAAGTTTTCTGTCATTATTTCTTCTAATAGGCTTTCAGTATCTTGCTCTCTCTCTTCTTCTGGCACCCCGATAATTCGGATGTTGGTACGTTTGAAGTTGTCCCAGAGGCTCCTTACACTATCTTCATATTTTTGGATTCTTTTTTCGTTTTGCTTTTCCAGATGGGCGTTTTTTGCTTATTGATATTTCAAATCATTGACTTGATTCTTGGGATCCTCTCGTCTGCTGTTGGATCTCTGTATATTATTCTTTATTTCAGTCAGTGTATGCTTAATTTCTGACTGGTCCTTTTCCATTTTTTTGGCATTCTCATTAAGATCCTTGAAGGTCTCACTAAGTTCCCGGGAGGTTTGTAGAAGATTCTTGAGTAATCTTATAACTGTGGTTCTGAACTCTATGTCCTCCATTAGTTTGCTGTCCTCCATTTCTTTCATTTGTGACATGTTTCTTTATCTTCACATTTTTGGCTGACTGCGAGGACCCACTGTGTCTATAAGAAGAACTGCTGTGCTGGAGACACCCTTTTGGGGCAGGACTTGCTTCAGTGGGGCTTTGGTGCTCACTGAGTCTGCCTCTTGAGTATGTCCCTTATGGATGTGAGGAGTTGAAATCTGGTATCTGACCAGGGGTACCCTGGCTACTGGATCTCCAAGTCAACCACTGTGTGAGTCCACCCAGCAGGAGCTACAGCGATATCAGCAGGTTCTTTTCTTTGTTTGGGATTTGGAAGTTTTGGAGCTCTTTGGCCCAGCTGCAGTTAGATTAGGCTGTAAAAGCCAAGGTGATTCCTTTGCACCGCTGAGTACAGCTTGGGAGGATATGTAATTTGAGTGGGGTGGGGTCTCAGAGAATCACCATGGCGGAGCAAACAGCAATGGCTGTCGTCAGCGTCTCCGTGACTCCTCGCGTCTCTGCAACTCCGTGTCTCTGCAGTCCCGCACTCCCACAGCAACAATGATCCCTGCAGGTAGCTCTACGAGAAAGCCACCCTCACTTTCCAAACCGCTGCAAAACAGTCCAGTTTCTCCCCGTAGGAGTCTGGGACCCCAGAATCTCGCCTTAAACGAGCTCAGTGCATTCGAGAACTTGTATCTCCTTCCAATTGAAAAAAAAACGCGCATCCAGGTGCAGCCCGTCTCATGCGCGCCTTTGTACCTCTGTTCTTGGAACCTCTGCACCTCCTACCCGGTCTCAATGCGCTTCTTTCTTTCCTTCTAGTTGTAGAACTTCCACTCGGCCAGCTTTCCCGTGCTTCTGGATGATAGCTGTTTTGTCTTATAGTTGTAGTTTTGATGTTGTTGTGGAGGGCAGCACGCACAGGTTTATACCTTATGCCGCCATCTTGGTTCTCTACTTCAAATAGGTTTTCAATTTCTTGCTCTCTCTCTTCTTCTGGCACCCCCATAATTCAGATGTTAGTATGCTTGAAGTAGGCTCCTTACACTATCTTCATATTTTTGGATTCTTTTTTCGTTTTGCTTTTCTGGTTGGGTGTTTTTTGCTTCTTCGTATTTCAAATCTTTGACTTGATTCTTGCAATCCTCTAGTCTGCTGTTGGATCTCTGTATAATATTCTTTATTTCTGTCAGTGTATGCTTAATTTCTATTTAGTCCTTTTTCATGTCCTCAAGGGTCTCACTAGATTTATCGAGGGTCTCACTAAATTTATTGGCAGTTTCTAGAAAATTCTTGAAAAACCTTATAAGTGTGGTTTTGAACTCTATATCCAGTAG